ATTTTAGTTTTATGGACCGTAAATGTCCATAATCTGCCCTCCTGGGGAAACCTGTACGCACTGCTTCTGCCACAGCGGTCCATTGGTGTTTCGGTTCCTCTCCCATTGGCGCGTAATGTTCAAATACAATGCCTTGTGGGGTTCTGCCTTTATGATTCGCCCTTATTTTTCCCTAATGTTTTCCCACTGACAAATGTAAGGCTCGTCCAAACTCATACCCAACCATACTCAACCATATGAATTATAAATTCCCTCCATGCCTTGGATCCATATTTCCTGATCTTCCTGCAGAGAAGTTACACCTTCCATAGCCTTTCTAGCTTCATCTAACGACCACGGACTAAAAACTGGGATTGTTGGAGGCTGCTGATCTCTTTAAATCAGAATGTGTGAACTGCACCATAGGATACAATCCACATTTGGAACATGCTTAGGGGGGTTTTAGGGGATTATTGTCATGTTGGGTTCTAGGCGTCTAACCCACATGCAGATACACTCGTGAAACAGAGAAAAAGTTCAAAGGTTTATTTACAAGTTTACAGTTATTGTGAACAGGTTCTTGGCTCGGCATACAGATCACGGGAGGAACACCACTGAGGAGGACAGAACAGTTAGGGTAAATCCAGGTAAACTGCAGGTTTACAGATGACAGGGTAAATACCTGCTCAAAGGTGGAACTGATCTGCAGGGGGGGAAACCTTGAGGGTCCAGAGGCTAGTCGGCAGGCAGAGGGCTGAGGGCAAGGGCAGAGGCTTAACTGAGTGCAGGCTGGCAGATTCCAGACAGAGATAAATCTCCAGGATTTCAGGTTTTCAGACAGGACTCGATCTGTGAGGCAGAGAGAAACAGGGTCAGGCAGGTTCACAAAAATCAGAGATACAGATCAGGTTGGTTGGCTCAGGTCTCGCTCTACCATTACTGGCAAACACTCTGGCAGGGAAGTGTCAGCCTCCTCCTCCTTAAATAAGGCTTCCTTGATGAGCAGATGGAAGACAGGTGTCGCAGTCAGCTCATGCCCTCAGGAGATCGCGTGCGCCCTCTGGTGGAGAAGGTGGACAAAGCCTCCAGATCCCAACAATTATGTGGTGGTAGTGGTCTATCTTCTTCAGTCATTACTGTAGTTTGCATGACTGAAGCTGTTTTCTGGCGGGTTCTTTTTTTTAGAGCCTAATATTGGGGGAGATTGGATCTGGTGCTGCAGTCGTCGCTCCAAATGCTGCCCCACCTCCTCCTGCTGGTTGGATCTGTCTACCTCTACACAGTTTTTCATTATCTTCTGGATGGACAAACATAAGTTTAAAGACGGACGAACTTAACATCAGATCTATTTATTTTAGTTTTCATAATAACCTCCTGTCTACTTTGCGCCTGTATCAACCAACGGCGAGCTAATTTGAGTTTTTTTACATGCTTGAAGAGTGTAAAAACCTTCTCAATCCAAAGGGCTTTGTATGATCTTGACATTTTACTGCTAGAACTGCTTCAACTTTTCTTTCCAGGTTTTAAAAAAAGTAGGCGTGTGTTTGTGGATATTTCTGACTATTTGTTCAGAAGTTGGTTTATGCATCTTGATTTAGGTATCGGTGCAGTCATGTCAGAATAGGAAGGTCTTTTTACCCTAACAACTAAGTTTGTGGAAAGGTGGTCTAAAAAAGATACTCCTCATTTCCTTTAACAGATATAAGTAATGAAAGATACTGTAATCTTTATTTTTAACTATAGAGAACTGCTAGATAAGGGGGTCACAGTATCTTTGGATTTGGTTCAAGCTCATAAGCCTGACTTTGCACACACTGCCTACGGATGATGGTCAGAGGGCAGTCTCATTTCTGCCAGTAAATCCAAGGCAGCTGTGGCTACATTGCAGCTCCTGAGTTGAAAAACTGCTATTTAAGAGTTTAGGCTCTAAATTATGTTTTTAACATATCAGGGCAAAACTTACATTTTGGTTATTCATTAATATGTTCAGTCACAGGAATATTCCACAGTGTCAGGGTTGGTCGATTTTGTCTGTGAACCCAAATGCCGAGTAGAGCATGTCCAGATGTCCCAGATTTCTAGGGACAGTCCCCCTATTGGACCACCTGTCCTCGGCTAAAGCTGTCCCCAGAAATGTCCCAGCTTTTGCTGTTTTATGAATGAAGGGGAAAATATTGTTTATAGACTGTTATTACGGTAGTAAGAGTAAGTAAGAGTATAGTAAGAGCACTTAAGCATGTTGCACACAGAAATCGAAGCTGGGATAAGAAAATAGATTCATATTTATTTAACAGAATGATTTAAAATGCCTTGCAAGGTGCGTCTCTGGTTCGGTGGTTCTCAAGAGATCAACAAGGCTTCATCTAAAGATGTTTTTAGAACTGATTGGTGGCCTTTATTGTAAGTAGAGTTATAAGTTGTTTTGCTGTTTTATGGTTGTGATTTATGAGCATAAATTTCCTGGCTTAGGTCTACTTTTCTACCACTCACTTTGGATATATGAATGTTCCTAATTATAAAACTAAGAGGCAGTAAAAAGAAAAATAAATGATGGGTCTGCATGATCTAAGAATGATGGGGGAAGAGATAACCACCTGTTTAATGTTCATTTATTAAGTTGTTTTTACTTGAAGCTCCAAGAATTGTGGTGATTTTTTAGTATTTAATCAGATGAGATAATGACAATAATAATCATAATCATAATATGTATGATGAGATTATACCGGTGTTACAACAAAATCTGTCTCTCGTCATATAATGCAACCACAGTGTCTGCTGTAACCGCGTCTCCTAACCAGTCCGCTATCTACTTACCCTAACTTTACTGGATCCATACCTAAACCTAAATAAGTATATGGTGAGAAACATGTAGCGCCTCCTTGGGTCACAATGTATGACGGGTCACAGATTTTGTTGCAACACCTTTATAACCCCAATATCTCATCTAAAAATGACCAAATACCAACAGGTGTGTGAAACAAAGAATCTGTTCTGACTATTAATTTGTTAGTTTTCATGTTGTATAAACTAATGTGTTAGATTTTGATTGGATTATGTCTCTGTTTTAGATTAATGTGAGATTGGTAGAAGAGGAAGATGATTAGAAGACTGATAGAAAGAAGATTGATGGAGATTAATGAAAAGCGGAGGAAAATAGTAACATTAATGTAAAGCTCAGTTTAAGAGAAGGAAAAAAAATCTACTTAAAAAGAGTAAAACAGAGAACAGGCAGAAGTCAGAAGAGAGATAGAAAGAAAAGAAGATGGAGAGGGAGAAGACAGAGAAGACTGAAAGACCAGATGGCAAAAATAAACACTATCAAACAATTAATTTTTATTAATCTTAGGGAGAGGCACATTCTTGGATTTTACACTTGATTTTTGATGTTTAAATGTTAATAAATATATAAAAATGGAAGAAAGAAATCTATAGTACAAAAATATAAATCCAGAAATAACATGCTGGGAACTCAGGAATAAAAAATTTGAGATTTAGGAGAATATATATGGAGACAGAGCAATTAATGGATTATTAGTTAATAGGGAGCAGGTGTGGACAGAAGCAGCTAGAAAGGAGCTAAGGGGATAGGAAAGGGGCACTAGGGGGCAACAAAGAGTAACCACGAAAAAGGGGTTTAAGTGTAAGAACTTAAATGAGGTTAAAGGGGAATAAAAATAATGACTACAAAATAATGAATAACCAAGGGGGGAACTAGATGTCATGATGGGGTTCCTTAGAGTAAGCCCAAGATGCAGAACACACACGGAGACACTGGTAAAAGTCCAAAGAGTTTATTTAAGGACACAAGCACATGGATTATTAACTGGAACAGTTCAGGCGGGGGGCTGGTTCACTGGGGTCTGTGCAGGGAACGGGAGATGGCTGGTTAGCTAAGTTCATGTGAGGCTAAGCATCTAGCTTAATGCTTAGCAAGGCTGGCCTAGATCTGAGCTTCCAGCTCACTGCAGAGAACAACAGGGGAATTACACAAAGGATTCTTCAGATTGAGCTTCCAGCTCACTGCAGGGAACAACAGGGGAAAATCCACATGGGAACCTCTAGGGAAACTCCACAGAGAGGTCATCAGGCTTCATCCACGTAGGAATCTTCGGGTTGGCTCACCAGGGCATAGCAGATTAAGCTCACCTAGAGCTTCTGGCTGGAGACAGGTTTCCTGTGATGCAGCTCTCCCAGAGCTGCAGGCCAGAGACAGGTTACCAGTGAGGCAGCTCTTCCAGGGCTTCACGAAGAGACAGGAGGTGAAGCTCATCCAGAGCTTCACGAAGAGACAGGATTCCTGTGAGGCAGAGACAGGGAAGAGTTAGAATCTGATCTCACACTAGAGATAACCAAGATTCTTCCAGTAACAGAGGCTCAGGTTGCTAACCAACTAAGATCAACACTGCGGCGTTGAGGCAAGATCTGAAGTCAGCTTATATAGGAGAGGTCTTCTGATGAGAGGATTAGCAACAGGTGTGCAGGAAGGTTCCAGCTCCAGAAGACCCACGGCGCCCTCTGCTGGAGGCAGAGGGTAGTCTCCAGATCCCCACAGTAACTCCAACCCTAGGGGAAAAACACAGAGCAGAAGAGGATCCTCGGCGCCCTCTGGAGGGCAAGTCTGAGGATCCTAACACTAGAGGATAAGAGAATGAACTGGAGATAACTGAAGCCATTGAAAAAAGAATTACAAGGAAGAGTAAAGCTAATAATTTAAACATGATATAAATCTTGAAAATACAGGATAACATAAAATAAAGCATCACTGAGAACCTAGACTGAATACTTACACAGAACCAAAGATTCCAGATCATGACAGACAGCAACTGTTAAAAGTTGCAGTCATTATTTCTTTGCACAGCTCTTTAAAAAGGTGATGCAACAACGAAAAACAATTTCATACATGTATCTCAATTTAAAAGGTTTTAAGCAAACTTTCAATCCCTTTTCTTCTGCGTGGTTCTAGAATAAACAGCCAGTGTTCAATCAATCTTTCCTGAACAATCTAACCTGTCTATCCTCAGAGATCTTACGGCTCTGGAAGGAATGATGAAACATCATCAGGATTTAAAAGCCAAAATAGATGGCCGCAGCAAGACCATCCTACAGTGTGCTGACCTCGGCAAGATTTTGATAGCTGCAGGCAATCCTGCATCGGAGGAGGTTGGGCAAGCAAAGCAACCTTTCCTGGCAAACATTGAACAGATTACAGTTGAAACAGCATTGCAAAAAATCGTAATTGCTCTAAACTATTTTAAACTGTCACAACAGATACAAGAGAAATTGGACAGTCTTCTAACTAAGCAGAAGGACCTTGTTGAAAAATGGGACAAACACCAGGAAAGGTTACTACACAGTAAGTACAAAGACTCAGATTAACTTTGACCATGACCAAAATAACAATGTAATTTACTGTGTTCTAAGTGTGTCAAATAAAAAAAAATCTCACATTTATGTTTAACGTGAGTTTAATTAAAGGACCATCATTTTAGCAGTTATTTATATCAGGATAACAGCTTGTAATGCAAAGGTTTACAGCTTAAATAAAAATGGACAGTAATTGTGCCTTTGTGTACCGTCACTTCCAGAGCAGGAAAACTTCCAGTTTGCCCAGGAGACAGTAAAGGCAGAAGCCTGGCTGAAAGCCAAGGAGCCCCTGATCAGCTCCAAGCAGCAAGAGGGAGGAGAGGCCCAGGCGCAGACAGATGAGGTCGAGCAGCTCATACTTCGCCATGAGGCGTTCCGCAAGGCTGCTGTAACCTGGAAAGAACGCTTCAGCTCCCTCCGTCAGCTCTCCGCAGTAAGCTTTACTATAGATGAAAGTTGAATCATGTTTGGTGTGGCCACTGTTCAATTATGCTACATGGGATGATGTGTTTGCACAAGCTATCAGTCGCATCATTAAACGCATCATGTGATAAATGCATGTCTTAGATCTTCTCAATCTGCATTTCATACTACTTTGATTTGGATTTAAAAAACACAAGTAAAAAAAAAAAAAGAAACAGATGGATCCCAGTTAAGGGGATCACAGAGCAGGTAAAGTTTTTTTAAAAGATCAAACCGATAAACAGTTTTATAGATTAATTAGAAACAAGATGCAGGTATTTGTTGCATTTATTTCTCTGAATTTAGATAATTATGGCCTTATAATTCATGAAAACTATTAATTGCTTTCTTCTGACTGCCAAGGTGTACACCATCACACGAATTGTTGACATGAAAGGGGTTTATCAAGGACGGTTAAACACTAAGCGAACCTCACTGCATCCATGATAATAAATTCCCAAATCATATCTGTCAAGCTCAGGGCTAAATCCAGCCAACCATGGCAATTCATCAGGCTCTCCACAGTCAAATAGGTATATGATGTCATAACATAGAGGTATATTTTCATTTAAAATGTACAAAGTGTTTAGACTTATAAACAAATAGCAGTAAGCAGAGGAATGCTTATACGGATCCTGGTTCTGGTTTTGCTGGAGGTTTCTTCCTGTTCAAAGGGATTTTTCCTCTCCACTGTCGCTACAAGCATGCTTGGTGTGAGGGATTGCTAAAGAGTCAATAAAAAAATGTCAGTGAAGGTTGTCACTGCAAGCTCTTCCAGGAGGAGCGGGTCTTCCAAATCAATGACTGGATGCGATCTGCTGGTTTTCCTAACCAATCTCACAGTGTTCTCTCTGTAAAGAGCCCTGAGATTAAATGAGTTGTGAATTGGTGCTATGTAAACAAACTGAACTGAGTAGTAAAGTTGTAATACCACAGCAGGGCACTCCTAAATGAGGAAATCAAAATGTTCATCCCTTTAAAAAACAGAAACAAAATTATAAATCGTCTGAATATAAAATGATTTTGACCCCCCTGGCTGGGGGCATGCTACACTAACTTAACATTAGGCTAACCTTAACCACTCAGACATGGAAGGTTTTCCCTATAGTAATATCGTATCTATAGTACCTCATACTGTTGCTCTTAAACAAAATGTATTCTTTTGTTTTTTCTTATGTGTGTACAGATTGATTTATTGATCCATTCTTCGATCAATCGAGTGACTGGGGGCTTATTGACCTCAGTCAGTTCCAGACTCCCAAAGAGTTTTTATTTTATAGATAGAACCCCAGTTTTCAGAGCCTGATCCCCTTCATTCATTGATGCAGTAATTCATAAATATGCTCAGCGCATATATTGTAGATCACATGAACACATTTAAGTAGTTTATATTTTTGCTTAAAACATCTTTTATAATAATGATGTATGCTAACTTACGGTTGGACCAGATGCTTGTTTTTTCATAAGCCATTAATATTAAACAGAACATTAATTAGTATTTCTAAAATCATTTGTTTTTCAATTATATTGTAATTTATTGATATGCGACTTGATGTCATTGATATTTTTTATAGGCTGAGAAGAAAAGGGAGGAGGAAAAAAAGACGACCCCTCTCTCCAGTCGAAGAATGTTCCCGTTATCATGTCTGACTCCCAGCGTTCCTTCAACCAGTGCTACTTCTTCCTACTTGAGGCAGACAATACAGGCTCAAATAGAACCCCAACCCTTCCAAACCAGCTTAGATCTGGGTAGCAGTTCTACAACCCAGAGATTATCTTCAGCGTTCGCTAGCTATAGCACAGCTATTAATGGCTCAGGATACCACGGACTTGAGCAGCCATGTGTTGGGAAAGTAGGAAGCACCTTGTACTTTGGGATGAACCAACAGGCAGCTGGAGCTGGAAGTGACTCTGGTTTGTCAGCATCCCAGAGCGGAGGTGCAGACACCTCTACGTACCATGGAGTAAACCACCAAACTGCTGGTAGTGCAGAGAGTTCTGGATACTTTGGAGTGACAACAGGGTGTCTGGGCGGTTTGCAAAACCATCTAAAACCAGGTGGTGCTAAATTAGAAAGTTCAGGGAATATAGCTCAGCAGCCAAGCAGTGGGGGAATGATGAGCCCAAGCTTCTTGCCTCAACAAAATATGGGCAGTTCTGGATATTTGCCTCAACCACAGAATTTGGGAAGTTCAGGATATCTCGGACAGCAGTCTAATATGGGAAGCTCTGGGTATTTGGCACAACAGCATATTACAGGAAGCTCTGGGTATTTGGCACAACAGCCTAATTTGGGTAGTTCAGGATACCTAGCACAGAATTACCAGAGTAGTGCTGGATTGGGAAGCTCTGGCTTTTTGGCACAAAATCATTATAGCAGTGGAAGTCTGGGCAGCTCTAGTTTCCTGGCCCAAAGTGGAGGAATTATGGATCCTAAAATGGCATATGCATGGCAGCACCTGAAAGCTGACTTCATGCAGCCAAGGATCAACCACATCCACAAAGCTATAAATCCTCTCCTGGAAGCCAGCAGACTGCAGCGTGAACAGTTTGGAGATATCCCTATGGCAGACATGGTGGGGCCAGAATCAGGACTGGAGCTTCTCCACGGTCGTCTCCAGAGGGATCCCCGCGGAAGTCGTTCAGACCCACAGATGGACCATCTGAGGCGGGAAAGGGAGTACAAGCTGGGAAGACAAACCTCTAGCGAGCAGGAAATCCAGGCAAGGTTGAACGAACTCCCACTGATAGTGCGGCAGGAACGATACAGGAGGCGCATGGAGCGGCAGTCATCCAGCGAACAAGAGGGGAGCAACAAGCAGAGGCTACAGAGGCAGGACTCAAGTGATTTGGAGGGCTCTGTGAAGGACGGCTCTGACAAACGCTCAGGGTACGCAAGTTTGTTCCACTGGTGACAGCAAAATCCAGCACTGTTTAACATGAACCAGGTACCTCTTTAGGACACTATATATTGGGGAGGGGCTTTGCCCCAGCTAAGATGCTTCAGTGCTTGAGCAAAACAATTTTAGTTTAAGGGCCCTAAGCAAATAGATTTTGCCCGTTTGGAGTTTACTTTGGTTATAAAACCGTCTATATATTATAGAATAGGCTTATTCTAGTAACTTAATATCACATAATAATGATATAAAATGCACTGCTCATGAAATACAGAGAACATGAACGAACAACTTTAACATGCAGCACATTCCAGAGACAAACTTAGATTTTCACAACAGTTAGATTGTCTCAAATTAATAGAATTATTTTAATGTTCATTTGACCTGCCCAGCAATTAATTTGGAAATTTTAGGACCCGACCTGTGGTCGACCTGGAAGCTCTCCTGGGTTTCACTTTGGCCCGACATGTTAGCCGCCTACTCTCACGGGATCTGTCAGCCCAGTTCCTGTACTGATATGGTCCCCACTGCCACCAGCAGAGCAGCTCTCAGGCTAGTGACAGGCAGCAAGCATGCAGAGCAGGGTCCTAGTGCCCCTGATTTACGTGTCTTATTGAACAGGGGTAAATGCTGCAATGTTAAGATTAGCTGGTTTGAAGGGTTTCAGCCGCCCCTAAATAGGCCTAAACATTTCCAGGAAATGGTCCAAAAGAAAGTTTAAGTTCTATATGATTGTGTTTTACCTTAAATGTGACAGTTTTGTTGTCCCTGCAGGGAGAAGAGGTCTACCATGGCAGAAATTGTGGAACAAGCCCAAGACAGAGAGGCAGCACATGTATGTTACCTTGGAAGCATTTTCTCACAATTACAGTGCCTTTCAAAAATATTCAGCCCCTTTAACCTTTCAACCTTTTGCCACATTTCAGGCTTCAAACATACAGATATACATCGATTATTTTTTGTGAAGAAAAAAAAGAACAAATGGGATACGATCATGAAGTGGAACAAAATTTATTGGATATTTTAAACAAATAAATACAATTTAAAACAAATTATAAACTGATTAGTGGGGGTGTAAAATAAATTGAGCTCCTTTACTTTTAGTGCAACAAACTCTCTCCAGAAGTTCAGTGAGGATCTCCGATGTTGATCTCAATAACTGATGATCAATAGAATCAACTGAGTGGAATCAGGCCTCCTGCTCTGTGGTCGTTTCAGAGGTCTGATTAAAGCGCAGAGAGTATCATGAAGAACAAGAAACACACCAGGCAGCTCCCAGATGCTGCTATGGAGAAGTTTAAAGCTGGATTTGGATACAAAAAGATTTCCCAGCTTTAAACATCCCGAGTAACACTGAGCAGAGATAATATTGGAATGTAAGTAGAATCCGACCACTGGGACGAAGACCTACGAAGACTTGCAGTCCCTCTCAACTTTCAGACTGATCAGAGATGCAGCCCAGAGGCCCATGATCTCTCTGGATGAACTGCACAGATCTACAGTTGAGGATGGAGACTCTGTCCATGGGACAACAATCGGTCATATGCTGCACACATCTTACCTTTATGGAAGAAAGACATTCCTGAAAGATATCCATGAAAAATGCAAAAGACTATGTTTGGTGATTCCAAACTGTTTATGGTTGGTAACAGAGAGGGTGGATTCAGATTTTTTTAGCTTTCAAAAACCTACAATGCATCAATTTAGTTGATCTTTTCCTTGCCTATTCAGCTAGGCCAGCAATTCCCTTTAAAGACATAGACAGGTATGGGGCTTTGCAGGCTAACAAAAAAAGCCAAACCTCGAAGCCCCTGCTTCTCCTCAGCAGGGAAAATGGTTAAAATTGATGGGAAGATGGATGGAGAAAAACACAGGATCATTGTGGAAGAAAACCTGATGGAGTCTGCAGAAGACCTGAGACCTGGACAGAGATTTATCTTCCAACAAGACGGTAATCCAAAACAGAAAGCAGCATCTAGAATCGAACGGTTCACAAAGAAACACATCCAGGTGTTAGAATGGCCTAGTCTAAGTCCAGACCTGAATACAATGGATATTCTGTGGGAAGAACCTGAAAGCTGCTGTTCACAAATTCTCATCTGACACCTCTAAGCTCGAGCTGTTTGCTGGAAGAACGGAAAAACATTTCCGTCTCTCTGTGAGCAGAACTGATAGAGACAAACCCGAAGGAACCTGCAGCTATAATAACAGCAAAAAGGTGGTTCTACAAAGTATTACCTCAATGGGGCTGAATAATTTTGCAAGGTGCCGTATATGTGAGTTTGTTGATGTTCAGAAATTGCTGTATCATCTAACGTTCCTTTTATTTGCTCTCTTAGGCCCGTGGAGAACCGTATCGTCCTCCCAGCAGCCTCTCAGCACCTGTGACTCGGTTTGATGGACGCCCACGTGCCCGGGACCGTCCCAAACCAAGGAGGCGGCCCCGTCCCAAAGAGCCTGAGACCACTCGTCGTTCTCGCTCAGCCCCAGCAACCGGTGCCCCCACCACCCCTCAGCCTCCATCACACACTGCCCAGAATGAAGGCTTCCTCTACTGTAAAAAGGCCACAAGTAGCGACCTGGAAGCTCAACAGAGGAGTCCCAACAGGTGCAACCATCCAACCTAATAAACCACCCTGAAGACAATACGTTTTAAGGGCTTATGCAGAGCTAGCTTATCTTCCCTCAAATAAGTTTAGGATTCCTATGCATTAAAACAATTTGCCTGACTTGAGTCAAATCTTTTATTTGATCTTTTATTGGGACTACCGCATACGCTAAATTCTAGCTGTATTCTGCCAATTAGCTGTCTAAAGCTGCAGGCATAAATAATTTCTCCATCTAAAAGTGTACTTTTATTGGGAACAATATTTTTTAGATAACATTCCCATATTGATAAATTACACGATATTTACAAATATTTATGGTCATCTGTTTGTTTCATAACTTGAAATTCACGGTTAAAGCAGAGTCCAACCGACAAGTTCAGAAATAGTGACACTGATAAGAATTCTTTTTAACGCTTTCACAGCCTTTCTGTCTGTTTTAGAGTTTCAGCATTGTATGCCAAGAAATGCAGTCATGGCAACAGTTACCTGTAGATCCTTATTATTTTTAGGGATTCAATATTTTTTTTTCATACCAGTTCACATTTACATGATTGTAGTACATTATTTCTTCAGGTCCCAGTTCAACATTAAGAAAAGCAGATATAATGCAGCTCAGGGTCAGCAGTCTGTTTTAGAGCTTCTATTTTCCAACATTATTACTTCTTGACATAAAACTCGTGGCTAACTGTGGCTAACCCTATGAGTCCAAAGAAGTTTTATGCCCTTGGTAGGTGAGGACAGTCCAATGCATTATTTTGATTTCACCTTGAAAAACTAAATCATGGTTTGTTTTTAAAATAGGATTTTAAATTTATTTCTTAGTCATTATCATTAAATCAGGTTTTACCTTAATCTGACTTGTGACAGTGTAATGACAATAAAAAAGCTAAAGAAAAAAAACAGTTCCTGGTGTGGAGGCAAGTAAACCCTTGCACACTGAAATGGCCGTTGACTCAACAGACGATGATTAGCCCTGAAAATGTTTTCATAGGTTTTGCTTTAAGGCAGTGCAGCCAGAGTTCAGCTGCAATTGCACTAACTGAGCAAATACACTAGGAATCAAAACAGGACATAGTCATTAAAAGGCCTCAACATAATCTCAGTTAGACAACATCCAGAGCTGTTATTACAAACTGCATGACAGTTAAGAGATTAACCTTTCAATTGTTTTTAACTCACATCAAAGGTTATTTCCAAATCAGTCTAAATGAAAAAATTTCTACAAAAATAATTTGATCATAACAAGTAACCGTTTAAGAAGTCAAGAAGTGAGTGCTGCAAATCTTGCTAGTTGTAGTTGCTTAAAGTTGCTCTCTTCACAGCAGTCACCCATGTCTCTTCTTAATTAGCGTAGATCTGTGTGATTGGCTGTCGTCAGCTGTACATCATCTTTACAGCATGCTGTGTTTCCAAAAAGCTTTGGCCCAAAAAGCTTCTGCAGCGAGCATCTGAAAGCATATATGAGTTTAGGGCACATGTTTCTGTTAACTGGGGGAGATATTGTGGACGGCTGTATAAGAATAAGATTTTAACCAATGAGCTTTACACTGCAGTCAGTCATTTATCCATTCACTCACACGCTGATGGTGTGGAGCTTCGCTGTGACCAAAGCTGTCCTGGGGCTTGCTGACACTGATCTATGATCATTGTTCTATATTTTATGTCCTAATGCTGCTCATGCTTCTATAAAACCATTGAGTGACAGAAACAACGCTTAGTGATTTGGTAGCTGTTTGTTTTTTTTCAACTATGGTTTATTTTCCTTAAATATAGACATGTTGCAAAGTTTTAACCTGTTAATTGCCATGTCTCGTCCAGGACAGCTGTGCTGCGTCACACTGCCACAATAAGGCTACTGTCGACCATTACAATACTTTATAATGGCAGGCTAGATTGTCCCAGGGGTTAAAGAACAGCAGTTGATTTAATTTATGCTTTTTAGGGCATATCTGATGCTTTTTGTGTGGCCAGTTACAGGCTGAAGATCCTTCTAATTTCTGTTGTGTGATTTTGCAGCAAATCCTGGGTTAACGTATACTGTGTGCTGAAAGAGGGAAAATTGACTTTCTATAAGGATGCTAGGAACCATACTACAACATACAATGAAGAGCCTCCTGTTGACCTGAGTGAGTGCTCATTCGATCCGTCAATGGGCTACAAGAAGAAGAAAAACGTCTTCATACTCCAGTAAGATCTATTCCACGGTAGAAGAACTTTGATGCATCATTTAGGTTTTATTTTTAGAACATGTCGACTTTACTCATTCCAAAAAACTGTTTCACTGAACGCAAACTGTTATATTGATTGATAAAAGCACATAGAGTACACAAAGTAAAACCTTACATCAACTCTGTATTCTTTTTTTTACAGAGTAAAAGATGGAACCAACTTTGTATTCCATGCTAAAGATGAGGTAAGAACCTTTATTACATCCATCTCAAATATTCAGGTTATTTTAAAACCAATATTAATGTTTAGGTATAATCTGGTAATTTCATTTTAAATAGCTAAATAAAATTAATTCTGGGGGACGAATATCTTTCGAATAATATTTTTGTTACCTACCGTAAATCCTCTAATATTGGCCTGTATTCCATTAGCGGCCAGGTCTCTAATAATGGCATGGCTCGCTGTCAGAGGAGGTAAATACTAGCCGGACTCTTATACAGGCCGAGGCTATAATTAGAACCAGCGAGGGAAGTCCTCAAAAACTTGTGATAGTAACATACAAGTACCACAGGGGGGGCAATGTTTGCTAAGGAATCCTAGGCATTAGCATGGGAAGTATACTCCTGCAGCAGTGTGTCGCAGTGAGCTTGATGCAGAAATTTTTGTATGCTCATTTTGAGCGCGGTCTGCGGTATACACTGTGGTCTAGATACGGCCGAGGTGGTGAGGAAGTGGGGGCGAGTTTGTCCGACAACGGAGGGACATGAGGGCCAAAAGAGCGGGGATCTAGGGGGAAAAGGGGTCACAGAGTTTTCACCCACCGCGCTCTTTTAGCTGATCCAACTTCACGAGTTGCTTTTCGCAATGTCGGTCAGAAAACAAGCCGGCCTCCTGTCTGCTGCACTGTCTGCGGTCGCCTACAATTTGGGAGAGGCGCAGCGGAGTGTCTGCGGAGGGGGCGGGGACGTCTTTTTATTCACTGCGACACCTACGCAGAGGACCTAGTCTCGAGTATAAATCAGCCTTAACCAGCCCTTTACACAAAGATCGTAGGGGCCTTACACAATCGTTCTGATCTGAAAGCCACCTGTGATTACCGGCAGGTCTGGTGGTAACCAGGCAGCGTTAAAATGGCAGAATTTCGTTGGCCTTCATGTTCTGAATTTCCCTTGAAATATATGATACTGGTAGCCTACTTCCACTTAGCCTGCCTCAAATAAAAATTTGCTATCTTGGCAGGACAGTTTCCATTATTTATTTTTAAACTTTGTTTCGCAAGTCAGTTTGGCCATTATTCCATTCTGTGTCTTTTTTTTTTCATATTGCCGTGCAGAAAATTTTCAGCTGCTGGAAGATGAATAATGTTCTGTATACTGTTATGGTAACTGTACTTTTTCAATAAATCAACCTAGTATTTTATAGGTTCAAAGAGACACAAAATCTCGTTTTTATTCATTCCACTCGTAGTCTGTTTTGATCAAATAGAAATAGAGGCCTGTCTGTAATTCTGGCCTCCTTCCAATAATGGCCTGGACCAAGATGTTACTGAGGGAAATAAAGGCCCCGTCCTACATTAGAGGTTTTACGGTATGTTTTTGCTTTTTTTTTTTTTTTTTTCCTCATAAGTTTCTATGGAAAATTTGGGTCAGGGGGAGATTTCAGACCAAAAGAGATAATGAGAAGACAGAGGATTTTTTAGACTGGTATCCATGGGTTGTTTCTGAGGCTCAAGCTGTCTCAGCAAGTTAAAGCTACAGGACACCACCTCCACATGACCTTAACATCGGAAAAACAGTGCCGACACCAGATAACTGTGTGGGAAAGGAGTGTCCAGAGTTTTTATGGAGGAGTCCAATTTGAGATCGAAAATTTTACCAATATTGAAATGAAGTAGTTACTGATCCCAGACTTTAATGGCTAAAGATTAAAAAATGCATCTTAAAAAATCCTTTTCATAAAAAGACACAGCTTATTAATTAATTAAACACTTTTAAACCAGCTCTTTGGAAAAGTGGAAAATAAAACATAAAACAACCTCCTCAGCTGTTCTTAGATCTTAATTTTGTGTCCTGTTATTAGTAATAATACTTCACTTCTAAACACTGTATACATAAAATTTGTTTTGTTTTATTTTTACATATCTGTGAAGGTCCTCAGTCATCCAGTCATTGTCCATCTTGAAATATCCAGTTTAGGCAACTGGAAGTGAAGTTTTTTTTCGAAGATGTTTCTCCTCTCATCCAAGAGGCTTCTTCAGTTCTAACTAGTGGTGGGGAGCTCTGAGATTAATATACTGGAGGTGGAACAAATAAGGAAGGACAAAAGTTGGCTTTGATCTCTCCTACTGGATTGCCCATGGTGGTCACCTGGGGGGTTAATGGTCGTTAATGGTCCTGATGGGTTGTTAAAGGTATAGGGGACGTTTTTTTATTTCCGGGTGGATCATCTAAATAAGTGGTCCTCTCTGGTGATATGTTTACGTAAGGCCGTCCTATATGTTCCCCCTGTTAGCTATCCGTTTCTGCACATGTGCACTTTCAGGTGTATATCTGTGGTGAGCTACGGTTTCAGGCAGTCATTGAAGCTCACCTTTCTCACCACAGTTCTTTGAAAATGGCCGAGGGTCGTAAGAGAAAAATGTCTATAAAGTGTATGAAAAGAAGAGGAAGGCCTCCGAAGAGGCAGATATATCCTATAATACTTTGCGCAGAGAGCTCTCCTCGCAAAGCATTAGGGGTGGAACGGTTCACAAAATCCACGGTTCGGTTCGGTTCACGGTTTCGTGGTCACGGTTTTTCGGTTCGGTATATGTTTATTGTTACACCGAAAAAAATAATAATAATAATAAAAAATTATAAAAATTAATGAATTTTTTTTTAAAATGAAATTAATGAAAAAATCAAAAAAAAAATTAATGAATTGTAATTATTTTTAATGATTCGCAGAAACCATGGATCATTTCCGCATGTTTTGCTGCTTTGAATTTAATTATCTCGCGCATGACCTCTACGATCTCCAAGGAACTCAGAGAGGAGCGGACGGGAGCCACAGTGGAGGCTGTATGTTTTGCTTTGTGCAGGCAGTCTGGAGCGCAGCGGAGCAGAGCGCTAACGGAGTACTGTATGTGGGATTTAGGGGTTAGCATGACATGTTGGTGTTGCTGTTAGCATAAACAAAACGTGTTGCACAATGCTTGCACACTGTTGCACTTTTATCCACAACTTTCTTTCCGCCGTCACCGTAGGTCACTCTAAATGCAAAGCGGTCCCATACAGCAGACCTATAAAGTGCTGCTGGCGCGTCTTCCAACGCCTGTTCTTTCCCACTCGCCATACCCACACAATTCTCCACAACAACTGATTTTTTTCTGCTACACCCGGCTACGCTGCTTCGCTTCTTCTTCTTCTTGTTTACTACTGGTGGTTGGCTTTGGTCGCAGTACCACCACCTTCTGCTCTGGAGTGTAAACGCTTCGCCTATGAGAAAAAGGAGCAGCGCATGAACCGAACGAAACACACGCGAACCGAACCGAGACAGTCGAACCGGACGGTTCGGACGGTTTTCAAAAACTGTTCCATCCCTACAAAGCATTATAGGATTTGCTGTCACAGCAGCCCGCTGTTGCCATACGCTGTTACTACCCAACAGCGGCGACTAATTAAAGATGGTGCAGGCACCATGCGGAGCAAAAAACAGTGATCATCTGTCCTGATGGTCAGCTAACTGAGTTTGCTATAAAGGACACAGTAAGCTTATATAAGCTACGAGAACAGCACATTTTAAACAAGGCATGCACGAGGAGAAATGCTCTTGCACATGCATTTTTTTCAAGTGGAGAGTGTGGGTCTTTTAAAAAATCCTCCACAATACCTTTAACTCCCTCGTCAGAGTGGTTTCAGTCACATGCCTCATTGAAGTGTGTGTCAGGTGAAGGCGGGTGAGAGGTGAATCTTCTGTGGATTGTTCGTAAAAGTGCTTTGGAAGTAGGTGAAAGGTTATGCTTCAGACCACCTCCTCTGTTGAGAGATGGTTTTTAAAGGTTAACAAAGACGCTTCATTAACTCCTCTCTCACACCATCTGTCTTCCTTGGCCAGAAGATGGACGTTTGTTTTATTTTTAGCAAAACTGTATCTTTGTTTAGTTTAGTACATATATATTAATATATGAAAAGTGTATCGCTTAGAATCATAAAGAATATATAAACAAAACATTTCTATTGATTAATGGTTCATTAGCAATTAGCTTTTACTAGGGCTGGGTGATATGACCTCAAATCATTATCACGATAGATTGGGCAGTCTTACCTCGATAACGATAAATGCCCCGTCGCCTCTATCAGAGATAAAGGCATGTGCAGGAAATAAAACTGGTCTATTAATTTATTTATTGTATAAAACACATTACATATTACTTTCAATTAATTATTAACGTCTTGTACCCATTCAGGTTTAAAGTTTCATCTTGCACATGTTTGAACTCTACAGAGTGGCTGTGCTGTAGGTGGTGGAGGTTGGATGTTTTATTTTGGGTAGTCCCCACAGTTTTCAGACAAACTTTGCATTTCGTGTCTTTTTACTCAACATACATGGCACAATTTTGGTACTACCTAACTGAGTTTGCAGTGAGAACAATGTACATCATTTAAACTTGCACACCCTTAATCAAAATCGGTCTGCCCCACGCTGAACTCTGGGAATGCGTAATCAGCTTCATCTCAGTGCACTTTTTCACTGGGCTAGTCCTCCATTTTCTTTGTTTATGCTTCTGACTGGATCGGTGGAGTCACGTCATTACAAACATGATAACGTGTCTTAATAGGGAAGAAAATACCAGCCACCAGCACACAAAGGAAAAAAAGCAGAATTAAGTTTATTCATTTTACGGACATAGGAAAATTTTCAATTAACAACATGTCATCTCAGTACACTTTACAATTGAACCAGATCATACAGTCAAATTGATTCAAAGTTTTCTATCTATTGCATCGACTCATTGACTCTTCAGCAATCCCTCCCACTAAGCATGCTTGTAGTGACAGCGGAGAGGAAAACTCACTTTGACCAGGAAGTACCCTCGAGCAGATCCAGTCTTAGTGTGAACAGTCATCTGCTGAGGCTGACTGGGGATCAAGGAGACGGAAGCAAGTCGTTTATCAAGAAGGTGTGGTTGTTGTGGCAGAAGGTTCGCAAACAAGTTTGATTGGGGCCGGTGTCTTGGAAGCATCTTGCTAACCAGTTAGCAACTTAGTGCTAGTAGGTTCCCAATGGGAAATTACACTGGGACCAAGTAGCACTATTTGGTGACTTTGAAAGGACACTGTCAAGGAACGCTATGGACAGCAGAAACATGCAATGGGAGGAAGGTTTTGTGTCGGAGGTATAGATGAGTCTCCATCATACATTTTTTAATTAGAGGAGGAAAGTGGAGACGAAGAAGTTGTGGAAGAGGATGTCTGGGTAGCAGAAGCTTTGTTTGATGTAGAAGGCTTACAGCCGTACATGTTTGAGCCCTTGCCTCACGCTGCCAGTTCTGTTAGCTCTACGCCTGCCAAAGACACAGACGTCCATTCAGGTTTAATTAAAGCAACCCTCAAAACCTTTGGTACATATCCCTGAATGTTCAACTGGATTAAAGCAGTCTAAACCAGGCTCAGATTCTATGGCTACCTCAGACGCTGCCTCACCTTCCAGAGATAAACCAATCATAGTTAGAGGAGTGCTAATGATCTTATTTTTAATAGAAACAATCTTATTTACCAAGAATCTCTAAGCTGCTAAGAGCAGGTGGGATGGACGGTTCAACAGAGCTAGGGCTCTGGGTGAGTTTGGCAACTGTATTAAAAAGATATCTAGGATTAATCTTATTCTCCTCTATTAATAAGGAGAAATATACCGCTCTTGCTTTACGAAGGGGCCTCTTATGCAGCAGTAACATATTTTTCCAGACAGGTAGGATTCCCGGAGGCATATAGAGCGCCATTTTCTCTCCAGTTTGCAGTGTGCTGCTCTGCATTAAACCAGGAAGCGAGCTTTCTAGTTTTAAAGTTTTTCTTTAGCGCTGTTTCTGGTTCTCCTTCCTGTGCGCAATAACCAAGTTCTTCTCTCTGTTCCACGCTTGTTCTGAAATATGTTGCCTGTATGTAGGATTTTTTTAGAGCTGCCAGCCTGCCCCCTCTCTATTTGCGCTGCATTTGCGACAATAGTTTTTACAACTCGTAGTCAGGCTATGATAGAACAGATGAATAATCATCTCCCTGTCACTTTTCGATAGTTCTTCCACATCAGTCGATTAACACGCAGCTTGTAATCTGACCAATCAAATTCCAAAGCCGTTTTCGTGGGGTACTGCCCTTCCGCTGTTGTTAGGAGACAATAACTGCGTTTCCATGACAATGGATTTAGCTAATTTACTTTGGAAACCCAGCTACAGAGAGTGGCATAGAGATGCCAGCATTATAAACTAGCTATACCGTAGATACATGGAACAAAATGGAGAGCAGAAGTAGGATTGGTTAACAAGTTATGATTTCCTAAACAGAAAGCTCAGGAGCAGGAGTGTATATGAAAGAGCAACTTCAAAACATCCATTGCAAATGTTTCAATGGGCCTGTTACTTTATAATCATATCAGACTATGTTTTCATTTTCTAGCATTCAAGAATTTTAGGGTTAAACTGAGTTTTTTTTTTCCTCCACCAAATCATATCTGTTTGGTTACGCCTCTTCTTATACCCTGAGGAACAGATCTCAGACTACACATCTCAGAAATATGATCAATTGTTTTATGCTGTTTTTCTGAAGGAGGACCTGAAGGCGTGGACGTCAAATATCACCACAAGTATTGCTGAGCATGAGGCCATGGCCAAGTGGGACAAGCCTGGCCCCTCGTCCATGGACCCTGACCGCTCAGAGAGGAAGGAGAAGTCAGAGGGCGACGCAGATGCCAGGTCAGAGAGGTCTGAGCTGATGGAGGGGGAGGAGAGGTCAGAGAAGGAGAGGTCAGAGAAGGCTGAGGGTTCAGAAAAGTTAGACACATCTGAAATTGCTGACAAGTTGGAAGGTGGCGCAGGGGGCTCCAGCACATCTGGGAGAAGCAAATGAGGTAGTAGTTTTATTTTCATGTTATTGTTAAATATCACTGATGAAAGGCGAATAAGGGGGAGGGGGGGAGGGGGTGTTAGATGGCAAGCATGTTTGCTGGACCACCATCACTGAGGCCATGGTACCCGGACTGACTGCTCTTACTGTGACTAACTGATCTCTCAGCCTTCACCTGGGCCAAACATCCGTGCATCCGTGCATAGCGCCACCTGCTGGTTGATACAGAGATCAGTCCAGAGAGACAGACAGACTCAAACAATTGGTCCCAGGAATCAGTCACTGTCACTTTCCATTTCCGATTGTTTGATCTAATGATTCACGGCATCTTTCTGTATGTACCTTTTGAAATGTAATGCTCTGTCTAACGAGACAAATACAAGAAAAGTTGAATGAAATGTTTCACAAAAAAACTTTTTTTCAGCAATATACTTTGTTTTTTCTTTTTCCTCTTTGTCAGAAAGAAGGGGGTATTAAACAAAAGGTAATTTAAGAAATAAACGTCAGGATTTGTCACTTTTTCCCAGCGGTTGACACATCTGTATAGTAAACATGACATTATTCCTGTCACATGGCTAGCTTTGGATCATGTTCATATATTGGAATGCTGGTATCACCACCTTACTTCAGTGGAGTCAATGAAAACACATTTCTAAAGTTACATTTTGGTTCTTATTATGGCTATTATTAAACTTGTTTGCCCATTATTATGTGTCAAGAAAGAAATAATTAAAAAAAATCAACCCAAGGTGTGTAACACTAAGCCTATGTGAAAATGACAAACTTGGAACATTGCATGAAATGGTCTGTTACTGCACCTGTTCAACTTGCCTTTGTTTTTCTTATCTTGACACAAAATGAGCAATGTGGGAGTTGCAATAATTTAAAGTGAGCTTTGTTAGAAGGGAAAGAGGTTGAGATGAGTTCCAAAAGCAGGGTTTGTCTTTGGTTTTTGGAATGTGGAAGCAGCAGCTTTCCAAACCCAAAGAAGCTCCTCATCTGTCTATAATGTCTCTGCAGAATGTACTGATATCAGCTTTGAAATTTTCAGGCACACCAGACAGGTGTGTGATGCCCTAAATTGTAAAACTCTGGAGCCGAGATCTTTGTCCCACATCCTTTCATTCAGAGTTCAAATCAACTGAATCCTCTTCACCAAAAGCAAACTCACTGGATTGTATATACCTAACTTTGTATGTAAACCACTGTGCTCTAAATAAAACCATTCTGAGCTCATAACTGAAGTGGGTAAAACCTAAGCATTTATTTTAAGCTACAAACAGAAACATGTATTGATGTTTATCACAATAAAGGAGAAATATGCAAATTAGGATTTACTATTAATGATCATAGAGTGTATATATTAATACACCTGTTCAGTATCTAGATCTATTCAAATAAATGAGCAGGGAGGAGGCAGGCAGACATCCTGTGGGTATGATTCTTGTATTTTTTTATGCTTATATTTCTTCATGTCAGATTCAGGAGTTTTGTGTTTAAGAACATTAGGTTGATTTAGGCGGCTGAGTGCTCAGTGTGTCTGTGACAGAAGAACTAAATGTATGTTAGAAACCTAACCAGCCTGCTCCAGGTGGAATGAGCTATGGTAAACTGTGAAAGCTGAGATGAACAGGTATCGGTCCACTTCTGTTTTGTTATGTGAGATTTTTTTACACATGTGATACAAATAAAGTTTCTGCAATGTCAATGAATGTGGTTTGAATTGCAGTATTAAAGAAAAAGCTCCACCTCCACTGTGCATCAGCAGCCAGCAGCTTGTTTCCCATCCTGTCTAACTCACCTCTCCTGTTTGAAAATGGCTTCTAAAGAGTATATGAGAGATGCAGCTCTGCTTGAACCCGCTGCCTCCAGGATTGTGGTGTGGCTCTTCACACTGCTGTCATTTTGACAAGGATGATAATCAAATGCTTTCATTTGTAATCTATTGTTCAGTTTTTACATAAGTGCCATGTCATGCTGTCTCCTCTGACAGTGATTGAACAGAGATCAATCTAGTCCACTGGAAATATGACCGAGAATCATTGCAAAACATATTTTTAACAGATTTAGGAACAGCAGTATTTCCTGTGTATTTGTGGTAAATATTAAGCCCACATAAACATGTGCGCTTTATGTGTTTGCTTTCCACTACTTTTAAAACACTGGGGATATTTACCACTACGTTAAAACAGAGAGCCTAAAGTAGATAAACCATGGATGAGTACAGAATTGTGCAAACTTTGTTGACTTCATTGATGGTCTTAAAGTGTGTATGTCTTTGTTACTTCCCAATAAAACCTGCTGCTATGACATTAAATAAACCTCCAAACTTGCTAAGACAAACTTTATGTGGAATTAATGTAGAAACCTGGAGCTTTCTCACACACACACCCCCACACCCACCCACACACCCCCACACACACATTCTGCTATATCTAGTGAGGACCATGTGTTGACTCCCATTGACTTCCATTGATTTTCAATCATTTTAGACCCGTTCTAAGCCCTAACCCTTAAACTAACCCTAAATCTAACTATTAGCAAAATAGTTTGTCAGGACCAGCAAAATGTCCTCATTCTACAACAACTGGTCCTCATTGGGATGGTGAAATTGGAACACACACACACACACATAGTGCTTAGTGCATTCCTTTGATTTTGTTTCAAGCAGTAAATCTGTATCACTCAATTTTTTTGGCTCATTAATGAAGATTTTGCTTCTTTTGTCAGAGATATTCCTAAAACACAGAATAGCAGGGACATAAAATAGATATTAAAAATATAAGAATAAAATAATCAGTTTTTAAGAGCTTCAATACAGGAATATTTATATTAAACTACTAGATGATAAGATGATTATTTAAAACATATGTAATATATTAAATATTGTTATTAACAGGTATCCAAATAGATTAATTATCCACAATATGTGATTATAACTTATATGTCTGCACTGCTCAAAAATTCATAAAGTATTTCATAAATGTTGGCCTAAAAGTGTCTGAGACTGAGAGCTTCAATGAGGTACAACTAAAAATGCAAACTCAAAGGGAGTTTAAAGTCATTTTATATAAAATATGTTTATATAAAATTCTTAGGTGTGGTTAAAACAGATCAGACCAAACTAGAAGCCTAAAAACTCTTAGTTAAGCTTTTTCCAAATGTGCAGAATAACACATTCTATACTGGCTTTACAGTAGCTGGGCTATAGTGCTGATGTCTGGGCTAAAACCTGCAGGATGTCACTCAAAACAATAATAATCTGCAGAAGGAGCAATTAGTGTAACTGCTAGCTTAATCTCTAATCTGGTAGCATTTTAAACTTCACATTTAATGTATAAAGTTATAGAAATAAATATTTAGCAAACACCATAGAAAAACTGAGGGAACAAGGGGCCCAAAAACTAGAGGGAACAAGTAAAACACAATGGGCTTCATGCAACAACAGTTTCATATTCTTGTTGTAAATTTCTCTTACTTTTTCTCCTACAGTTGGTTTTTATGGAGTTATCTTTGTATTTTCATTAAATAAAAAAAAAAAAAAAAAAAAAGATTACCACTCAGCTCATTTCTATTGAGACTGGCAAATAGGAACACATGACAAGTTTCTCACATTGAGAGAGAAATCTGTTTTTGTTTTCAGTCTGAATGCAAAAAAAAAAATGTCAAATGTCAATTTATCTTTTAGTCATCAAAACTATCAAATAACATCATTTTTTTCCCATTGGTGTGACATTCTTTCCTCTCCAATATATTTATTACTTTTAGAATTATTTTCCCCTTCAGATCACTTTTTCTTTAATTTAATAAAAACAGAAAGAGGGGATGAGGGGGGGACACCTACCCTTCACCCGGGGTCTTTCACATCTCTGTCGTCTCCGCTCCGCGTGGAGCCCTTGGTAGGTGGGATACAATGACTGTACCCTGATGCATCTCAGCTTGTGCTGTGGGTCTGCCTTGCTGGCACTCGGCCTATGCATGCAGTCAGGTGGGGCATGCTGGGGGGTGTCTGGCCCCCGGGCACCTAAACGGGTGGACTACCTGGGTTGGGATTGTCTGGCAGCCATGGGCATGAGAGGACCATGTAGATGTGGAAGGGCTGTGGCCAGCGCTGTTTGGGGGAGTTGTCCTTCCTGGGGGTGGGCCTGGGTGTTGTTTGGGGGTGGTCTTGGGCTGAACTGCTGCTTTCCTTACTATGGTGGCACCCAGTCCCTGCCCCTCTTTTTTCTTGCCTGCCTCCTTCCCACTCTGGGGGGGGGGGGGGGGGGGGGGGGGGGGTTTGGGGATCTCTTCCCCATGGATTGGCCCTCAGACCCGGGAGGATAGTGTATGTATGAGGACTTTAAGAATATGTTTAGTGTCTGCCTCTGTGTCCGTCTTTGTTGAGTGGTTGTATTGTCCATGTTGGTTTGAGGGGGGATTGTCTGAATGTGACTGGATGAAAGTCAGTTTGTTTCTCTTTTTTTGTCAGGTTTGGTGTTTTCCTCCCCCACCCCACCCACTGAACATCCGAGGCCCAGTATGAGCAGGGTCTTCCTCCTTCCTCTTCTTATGCCCTCAACCAGTGACAGGTTCCTGTGTCTGCTGGTCCACTGACAGTTCTCTAGGTATGGGTTTAGGTACTTCAGTGGGCGCTGTCTCATTCCTGGCCAGGCCTGGCAGCCACCACTAAGGGGTGGTAGGCCCCTGGACCTTGCAGCCTTGGGCTCTCATCTACAGTAGATCCAACTTGGGCGTGACCAGCTACAGGTGGAGCCAATGGCCTCACTGCCGCAGCCCCGTGGGACCTCTGCACAAGGGTTGGGCCCCTCAGGGACTGGACTCCTTTAGCGTTTGGCCCCTCAGGGGGTCGGGCTCTGGATGCTCTCGTCTGGCCTTCTCTGGTGGGCGTGGCCATCCCTATGTTTGCCCTCCTTGTGCCCCAGTGATCTGGATTGCCTCTAGATTACGGGGCTCGTATCGCCTCTTTTTCTGCCTTTGCCCCTGAAGGGTGAGTCTGGGGCGGCCCACACCTGCTATTAAGCTATTCCTTTCAGAAGAAGCTTTTATAAAGAAGCCTTTATACACAAGCATGTCCATGCATGCATACATACCACGGGAGTTTGGTTCCAGGTGTTCACAGATAAACACTGATACTAAATACTAAGCTGCAGCCATAGATATATACCACCCTGATTAACATTGTGGAATATCTGTAGGTTCTGATTCACACACATAGATATATTTAAGGGATACCTGCTGCTATAGGAGCTTTTTCTATATTTACTTTGGTTGTCTGTTGTCTTCTTTTTTGCTGCTGTTCTCTGTTTTCTGTTCTTCTCGTCTCCTCCCTCATTTAAAAAGATAATGGTAGAAGTCCTGATTGGTGTTAACAGGCCATTATTTCTATTCCAATGGGAGCAATGCGTAGGACATACTATATATGTAGAGCATTCTTTGTGAACTTGAAAGGCAAGTTTCCCATAATGCCTGTTCGAAATAAAATCAGAACACCCATTAACTTGGATACTGGACTCTGCCATCAAGATCAACCCCCCCACAACCCAAGACACTACTGAGGTTTGGTGTTGAATATACGCTATTGGTAATAATAATGACAATAATAATGAATATTACTGAAATATTGGCTACTTCATACAAACATATACAAATGTAATTTTCAATGGAGGTTATTTCATTCAATTCAAATAATTTTATTTTCATAGCTCCAATTCACATCATGTCATCTCAGGTCACTTTACAGAGACAATTCAACCAGATCATCCTGTCAGACTGGTTCAAAGTTTTCTATCTAAAGCCAATGTCACACCTTAAAGATTTAGCCAGCGTATGCCAACGTCTGAAAAATCTGGCAAAAAATCTAGCATATGTTGGATTAGCAATAGGTAAGTTCTGTATAACATATGAGCACGCTGAAGCATGTCAACATACGGCGACTACGTTTTACAAGTAGTATGCCAGCTTATGCTAATACGTGGGTCATAAATTACAGGTAAGTTATGTGGCCCTTGACATGTAAGTTACTCATAATTCGTGGTGTCTAGCTTATCCAAAACCCATGAGTAACTTGGGCATAACATATGCACAACCTATCCAATGCATATCGATGCATGCAGGTATATTTAATGTGTTCCAGACTCCCACTGAACGTGTTTCTAACTTACACCTACTGTTTAATGGCATATTGGAAGCTTTTTGGTATAAAAGGGGGTTCACAGGTGGACACTGTCTGTTCTCCCCCAGACTGCATGGAAAGCAGACGTTCCACAAGAAATGGAGGACCCGGCAAGGCTGAGACAGGAATACACCCTAGCTGTCCTCCAATATCTTCATGATCTCATCAATTATTTGGCAGGCGGTAAAAAGCAGCTAAGTTAATACTGTGACTGTAAGGTTTAGATAAATCTTCTCATGCTTTTTATTAGTGTTGCACCAATACCAGTATCGGGTAAGGCCCCCGATCCAGAACTAAAATGGTGGTATCAGCGAATACCAACAAATAGGGCATCAATACCATTTTTAGAGCCAAAAGTTTATTCAACTATTGTCATATATATATACACACACACAGGAATTTAAAACAGATGGTATCGTTCGATACTGCACAGCCAGTTATCGATATCAGGGCTAAAAAAAAGGCATTGGCACAACACTACTTTTTATGCAGGTTGGCGCCTACAGGCGTATTGCTGTCCCCCTCAGGACACTGGCTTGGGCATAATTTCATGGGCATTGCGCTGCTGTTCATCATGCATAAGTAAGGCTGTCATTGGATATAAGTTCTGAACTCGTTATATATACTCTATGAATATACCAAAAAATTGAAAAGTATCATAGAAAGTTCAATGTATGCCAGCGTTTTAGAAGATTCTGGGACATTGACATATGCTGGCAAAGTCATCAAAATGTGACAGCACTTTTAGGAAAACCAGTTGCTTGAATCGACTCATTAACACTTCAGCAATCCCTCACATCAAGCATGCTTGTAGTGACAGTGGAGAGGAAAACTCCTTTGAACAGAAATAAACCTCCAGCAGAACCAGGCTCAGTGTCTGCTTCTTCTCCACTGTCACTACAAGCATGCTTGGTGTGAGGGTTTGCAGAAGAGTCAATGAGTCGATGCAATCAGCTGGTTTTCTTAAATTACTTAGATAGAAAACTTTAAATTTATCTGAGTGGATTATCTGATTGATCTGGATCTATAAAGGGACCTGAGATGACATGATGTGAATTGGAGCTATAGAAATAAACTAAATGTAATTTAATTTAATTAAAACCCCTACACATGGAGGAATCTACTTTATTTTTTAAAGGGATCTTTAAAACAATTAAGTTTCATGCATGCATCAATAAAGGAAATGAGAAAGATGTGATTCTAATGACTTTGATTTCTTCAGTGACAAACTTAATTAACAGTGAGAGGAAAACAATGCTTGTTGATATGTTTTATATTTTATTATTGCATTTTGAATCCACAAAGTTATCATTTTCAATACAAATAGTTGGAAACACAGGATTTGTAAGAATACTGAAGCATTGCATTGGCCAGAATCTCCTTAATTGAAGTCAGAAACAGTTCCTAAGGACAAAGCTGCTTTTCAAATCTTTATAACCTTTTGTTATAAACTTCCTATTCCTCCCATAAAGGCTATCTGGTATATCAAATATATAACATCACATTATGTGGAGTAACATGAACAGCCTATTTCAGTCCATTAATACCAACATATGGAACTGTCTGTCAGACCTGGCAACCCAGGCCAAGGTAGCTACGGAAGCCGTCGCGTTTGCGCAACCAGGTAGCTTCCTGAAAATGGCCAGCTGGGGAAAGTTCGCCGCCCTGTTAAGGAACGTAGCGAGGAGCTCTCGACTGCTGAAAACCTCCACATCATTCCGCGCTGTGGGTTCAGGTCTTCTCGGCTCTGTTATTGGAAGCGGGAGCCTCTGGTTGTACTGCCGCCATCATGCTAACAGCAGGACGCTTCCCTTCGCTGTTCTGGCAGAGGAAGAAAGAGTAAGAACACCTTCCGCAAATGCTTCTTTAGATTAAAAAAAAAAACTTTATCGAATAAACATATATGATAACCCGTTTTAAAGACCACAATAAAGTGAATAAAAGAAGTAGACATTGCTTTTAAAGAGGTAAACACTGAGCTGTGCGAAACCAGCGCCCTCTAGCGGCATCTGCCGGGTGGTGCATAAAGTACATAAAACTGTTTTCGTTTATTGCACCTAGTGGTAAAATAAATCTTAAGTTTGAAATAGGGAGTAATTGGCTTAAAAATATCATTTTTTTATTGGCATTCAGGAACTTCATTAGAAACAGTAACATTCAATCAGAGGACATATCTGATCACATCTCTCCTTTTTAAAGTTGCAGGAACCTGCAGCTTCTCATCTGTCTGCCAGAAAGATCCGCTTCATCCAGTTTGCCTCAGTGATGTATGATATGGAGCCCTACATGACCCCAAGAGACTTCCTGTTCTCTGTCATGCTGGAACAAGTGGACCGTAAGGACAATTTACTGTGATTACACTCCTATTAACACTAAACAATCCTGTTAAATGTCTCTATTCTAGCTAATATCTTTTCTTAAGACTCAACGCTGTTTCTAGGGTAGCAGGAAGCTGGATGCCATGCCTCAGTGGCAAGATGCAATTTTTAAATTGCAGAGGAACTCAATTTAGGCCACTTTACATACAATGAATTAAGACACTTACTTTCTCGCTTTATTTGTTGGTTGTTGGTTCAAAAATCATAGCATTACGAGAAATGAGCTCTAATTAACACAACAGTTAACGTCCTGCCATGATGGACCCAAACTTCCGAGGTCACTAAGACAATGAAAGCCAGCATCGTGTGATTGGTGCAGAGAAAAAGTCTAAATAAAATCTCAAAACTGTTGGTTGAAAAAACAAAAAATCACAATTTCATTTTTTGGCTTAATTATTCAGTGTACACTGCAGGCCTGATGTTCTAAAGGATTGCATTTATTAAATTATGACAAACTTGTTAGAACCTGCAACATGACCTTCTAAGGTAAATCTCACACATTCATGTGTGAATATACAGATCATATTCTAAGGACTAAACTCCATCACCATCTTTCTTCTGTTATGCATGCTTTTTTTTCTCTGTAGACATTCAGATATAAAGAAAAACATATATAATGATATTAATAATGCATCGTTCAGAGGTTTTCCTCTTGGTTACAGTTGCAGCCCTCTGTGGTTACTGATAGGTCCTCTGTTTGCTTTTTTCTAGGAAAGCTCCAGAAGAGAATCCTAACAGCACAGGTATGCTCACAGTCTCACCGTCTGAAAAGTAAACTTCAGCCCCTTTTGCACTCAGAAGTGCCGTTCTCCACAGAATAACCTGCATATTTACATGAACCGCATTTTGGTCCTTCAAGCTACCCGTACTTTTCTCTGCTTAGTCGGGATTTTAAAGGGGGGCTGCAGGGAGCAATGATGCATGGACCATAGACCTGATATAAGAGAATAAACCCCGCATTGACTGCAGAAATTACAAGCGCCATCTTGGGGAGGTCGAACTGCTACCCTAATCTGCTGGTTGAAGTACAACAGAAGGAGGATGCCTCAGCACTGTGCAGCATATTACGGACATTACTGAATAAACAGCATATATATATATATATATATATATATATATATATATATATATATATATATATATATATATATATATATATATAATCTCTTTATTGTCCCACAATGAGTAAGTTGTGGCTTTACAGCTGCAACTGTTTATAGCAAAAGTGGTCACACAAATGTGGACCTTAAAAAGTGTATAAAAATAAAAGATTAAGTTACGGAGTTTAAAAAAAATATTAAAAAAATACTGTTCTATGCAGTGTTTTTACATATATAAATACTGTGCATCTCAAGAATAGATAATCAATATACAACTGTGGACATTTTTAACATCAAGAATATTTAAATGCACTGAGCCATTAGTTTGTTGTCAGCAAAGAAAAAAACATAACCATGAAAATAATATTCAGCGAGTTTAAGATGATTAAAACTGATTCTGTTCCTGCTCAACACATTATAGAGCGGTGCTGTTGACCTTCCCAAGATGGCGTCAAAAAATAACTTTAGCTCCGTTAGATGAAAGCGTTGAATGCTGGGTCTTGTCTGATATTGTGGCCCAATCCCAAACCGGGCCCTAACCCCAACCCGCCGTTTGCGTGGAGGGTCTGCCACATTAAGGACCGTCCCAAACCCCATAGTGTGTAGGGCAAGGGGACCGTTCAGCCCTTAAATAGCGAGTCTGCATCACTTGCAGGCTCTCTGGTATTCAGCAGCATGTGTATTAGCGGCCTGGTGGCGGAGGAAACGCGTTCCTCCAAATGTAAGTTCCGCTGATTTGCTGCACCTTCGTCACACTGACAGAAAATTTAGTTAGTTTATGGAAAAAACCTAATTAATTCCAAACTGAAAGATCCTCTTTGAGATAGTTTTATCTGACCGTATAGATTTGATTTAAGAAAGGGACAAATGTTTAATGTTATGTTAACCTGCGTAACAGAGCTGGATCCTCACTGTGTTGCCATAGCAATGACTGCTTTCCTTGTCCGTTGGAGGGAAACACCCGTCCCATTCTCGTTTATACCCCCCTCCCTTCTATCCAGGCGCCTTCCACAGCTGAGAGTGGGACTGCTAGTGAAGGGTTAGTGTTAGGAAGGCGTTTGTGATTCAGCCTTATATTATATCTATGGGGTGGACTGTCTGGCACCATCTTTAAACCGCCGTTTTTGTTTTGTAACAGCCAACACACACAAACGGACGTTTTTGCAACTGTGTAGTTTAATATTGTCCAATTTCTTCAATGCATGATGGAGCAGAGGAGGAGAAGCTGCGGTGCTGGACGGATGATGAGGTCCAGCTTTGATTTAAATTTTTAGTGAGAGTTTGAGTCATCGATGCACAGTGATCACCTCGACGCCACGACTGCAGCCAAACTGGCCGAAAGAAACGCTCTGCAGACCTCAAAGCAGGTGCTGGACAAGCTAAAGAAAAATAATGAAGCAGGACTGCAGGAGGCTGAAGGAGCACTGAGTCTTTTTTGGCTCCATGTGGAGCCAAAAAAGACTCTGCAGTGTCAGTGCTGGAGGCTGTTAGCCAATAAGGTCTGTGGGACGTGGCGTGCAGTCACAGTAAGAGGTTCTTCTCACATGTTCTCATCTTATCTAGCAGCAGCAGGAGGAGGAGGGACAGTTCGTACGGAAACACGTCAGACCCTCAGCGTGTGCGGCTGCGCTCATGATCTCGCTCCAACATGTGCTGTTGTTTAGGTTTTTAGAAACCACGTGGCTACACCGATTTGCATGATTGTCCTTTCAAACTAACGGAACAGGAACATGATGAATTAAAGCCGCAGCTTTCAGTGGAAAGGGGGCGGAGCTATAGGTTGATGGTTCAGGTGTCTCATGGTGGGTTATTGGCAGGACGTGGACAACATGTTGGCGGCTGCCTCTAAAGCTCGTCCTGGCAGCGATCTGTTCAGGAACCTGGGAGATAATGGTGAGCTCTCCTGCCTTCAGTGTCACATCTAGCAGCTGGTTATTCTTCATTTCAGCATATTTCCTCCTGCCTTTCAGGTTTGATTTCCTACACAGAGTATCTCTTCCTGCTGACCATCCTGACCAGTAAGTGCTGATTTCACCACCCGCTGAGCTGCTTTTCATGTGTTTAAGGAGAAACTCTGATATTAAACCAAATGTTGGACCTACGTATGCTGAGAACCGTAATGATAAAGGCAGCTTCAAAGACCATAAGGATTTATTTATATTTTGGTCCAATATTAAAGAGTTAAATTGAATTACAGTTTGTCTTTTTAATAAAACAATTCAGTCAGATTTTCCTTTATATTTTTTAAATATTTAAAGGGTTTTTATTTTTGAAGAACAGCAAAATGAATATCACTGACATTTTCGGGCGAGTTGTTAAATTTAGTCATTCTACTTCAAATCTGATTTTTTTAGTGAGAGGGATGGGAATCAAAAACGGGTTCCTGTTCAGAACCGGTTCCGTGTGTTCCAATTCCATGGCACCGTTTGGCAGCTCGCTTAATGATTCCAGGCAGCACCAGAGCCTAGCGCACGACTTACTTCACGTTTTTTTTTACCAAGTTACGCACACGGCATTCAGTAAGCAAGTACGACGTGACCAGGCGTAAGTCTAGAAAAACAGAACAAAAAAATGGCGTCCCATCGGGTGAAGCGATAGAAAGTTTGGCTTCATTTTAAGGAAGAGAAAGATGGCAACAAGGCGCTCTGCAATCATTGCAAAGAAGCAATTACATCCGCGGGAGGAAATGCATCCAACATGCAGAAACACCTGCGCACACAACATGGCATACATTTAAATGATTGCCGTGTTTTTAATGCTTTCGGACAGAAGCTAAAGTTACGACCAGCATGAAAGTCAAATCTTTTTGTAAGTAGCTAGTTTTATATCACTGGCTGTGCTTAATGTGGTTCCTAGTAAATCATATGCCATTTCAGGAAATCAACCAGTTTCCTACCTCTCTTTGGGGTTATTAAACATGCTACGAAGTTGCTCCACAGTTCAGGGAGCGAGAGAAAGGGGACACTTGTTTATTTAAACCAGGGGGAGATGAGTTTATTTCCCGAAATTGTACAGTAATGCTTTTTCATTAAACGGATGCCTTCTCCATTAAATTTAGATGACTGTGATGAGACGGGTAGCCTGGCTGGCTCAGAGGCTGGCAGCTCCCGTTCACTGCCTTCTGTTTTCACCGAGGCAGGCAGAAATAGAAAGTCCCAGGCGAAGGTAGACAAAAGTCACCGTTCACTTACCAAGTTCATTGTTTCACAGAATCGATAAGGAATCGGAATCGTTTCACAGAATCGATAAGGGAATCGGAATTGTGGAAATTGTATCAATTCCCAGCAGTGAGTGTCTTCATTGTGAACAAAACATGGGAGCCTGATCACTAAATGATTTTCCTCCTAGTTTATTTTTGCATACCTCTAAGGCTACGTTCACACTGCAGGCCTTAAAGCTCAATTCCAATTTTTTGTGAAATCTGATTTTTTTTTTTTTTTTTAGGTTGCTGTTCACATTTCCAAATGTATGCTACTTTAACGGTACAGAGCAATTCATTCATTCAAAGAGTTTTCTTTATTTTCATGACTATGAAAATTGTAAATTCACACTGAAGGCATAAAAACTATGAATGGAAAACGTGGAATTATAGTATGAAACAACTAAAATTAAAACCGCGAGCGGTATTGACGGCCCTCGCAGCTCGCACCGCCTGGTATGTCGCGACCGCGGGAACCAAGCGACCGCCGGCTCCACGCTCCTTCCCAGCCTATTCTCCTGCTATTCAGCCTATGCCTGCTGCTGCTTCCCCTCATCCTCTTCATCACCCTGTGCTGCTCCTCTTCATCCTCCTCTTTCTCCGCTCGGCCTATCACGACCGCGGGAGCCAAGCGACCACCGCCCCCTTGCACCTTCCCAGCCGACGGAAAAAGCTCCACGCTTCACCTCTGGACCAGCAGAAGACAACCACAGCGTTGGTCAGGAAGGGTTAAACTATAGATTAAATATAATATCTGGGAGGAATCTCATCTGTCAGATAGACGCTGCGGCCATCTCAGGTGGTGGGTCAAAAGTATATGTTCAAAAGAAGGAGAAAAAGCACCGCCAAAATCCACGGTTAGCGGTAATACACCCTACTCAAAACAAAAAAAATCATTAAAAATCCATAGTTTGCAATAAAATCCCGAAAAAAATCACAAATGTCAAGGAACACATCTTGCATGTCCTAGATTTTTTTTAGATGATTTAATAAATAATTTAAAGAAAGAAAAATCTTTAAACTTGAATGCCATATACTGCGGCAGTTGAAAACCCCATAAGATGCTCAAACATGCATAGATTCACGCCAAACTTGGCAGTCTTTTCTATAATCAAAGGATAAATAACTGTTCCAAATTTGGCTAGGATTGCTATAAAACTTTTTGAGATACAACAATTTCCTGTTAACACAAACTTTTGAAAAATCAGAGTGACGGACTTTTAAGAAGAGCTATGCTGTGTTTACCATCAAACAAGTAGCGATTAGAGGAATATATTCCAAAAGTCCTAGCTTTTTTGAGAAAACGACTGATTTTTTAGAAATATTTTAACAAAGTGATTCTATTTTCATAAGGGTACCGTTTGATTCAAAATGGCCGACTTCATGAGAGGTTTAGACCATGGCTCCAATGAAACTTTTTGTAGGTGGAGAGCTCATACAGATGTGTGCCAAATTTCATTATCCTAGGAATGAGCATGGCTAGGGGCTGAATTATTTCCTGGCATTATCTGTCCACTTGGCCAACTACTAGGCGAGAACGCAAACTTTTGAAAAATCAGAGTGACGGACTTTAAAGAAGCGCTTTGCTATTGTAACCAGCTTACAGCAGGCTTTGTAAAGAACGTATTTTGAAAGTTTTAGCTCATTTGGATAAAATACTGATTTTATACAATTTTTTGAAAAGAGGTCAGTGCTTTCACAACAGAGTAAAATGTAATTCAAAATGGCCGACTTCCGGTGGGGTTTAGACCATGGGTCCAAGAGGCTTTTAGTTAGGGCCTGATGAGGTGCAAATGTGTTCAAAGTTTCAATATTCTAGGACTAAAAACGGCTTGGGGCTGGTGGTTTGAAGTTTGTTATTTCTAGGGGGCGCTGTAGGAAAATTAAGCCCCGCCCACAAAATATTGCTCTGGATTCCTGTTTGGAGTTGGACTAGGATCATCTCTTGTGATTTTGGTGCAGATCTGATTATAAATGAGGAAATGAGAGCCAATCGTATTTTCATGGCGAAACGCCTCACTTCGCCATGGCGCCACGGCAACACCATTTGACTAAAGCTCTCTGTGCCTTAAACGAAGTTAGGACAACATGTTGTCTGTCTGCTGACACAGTTTTAGGTTGATGAGGTCAAGTAGGACAGAGAGGGACCATTCCAAGTAAAAAACGTGACTTCCGGTTCTCAGGGGGCGTGGCTTCAATTATGTAACAGTTTTAACATACAGTTTTGTTGGGAACCGAGAGAGGATTAATACTACCAGGTTTCGTGTCATTTCAGTTTCATATGTAAAAGTTATTGCATTTTGAAAATGTTGGCGAGTACGCCAACTTCGAGGCCTGGCCACACCCCTTTAAAATGCTGGAAAACTCAAAAAGTTTGATAAGTTTGGATCTCACATGCCTTATCTGCATACATGCCAAGTTTGAAGCCGATGGCTCACCGTCCCTAGGAGGAGTTCGCGAAAGTTCGACGTCAACAAAATTGAAAAAGTGCCAAAAATCGGCCTTTGAGCCAAAATGGCTGACTTCCTGTAGGTTTTAGAGCATACCCATAATGTAACTTTTTTCATGATTTGGTGAGATCTATGCACCTGCCAAATCTCAAATCTCTGTGACTTACGGTTTTCCCCAACTCACGTTAGGGGGCGCTGTAGAGCCATTTGGCCACGCCCATTTTGGATTCCATTATCATACGTAAATTTCACTAGGGGGACAATTTACTGCCAAGTTTGGTGAGTTTTTGAACATGCTAAAGCCTCCAAAAAGCTGTTTCTTTTAAGCGGAGAAAAATAATAAATAATAATAATAATTAAAACCGCGAGCGGTATTGACGGCCCTCGCAGCTCGCACCGCCTGGTATGTCGCGACCGCGGGAACCAAGCGACCGCTGGCTCCACGCTCCTTCCCAGCCTATTCTCCTGCTCTTCAGCCTATGCCTGCTGCTGCTTCCCCTCATCCTCTTCATCACCCTGTGCTGCTCCTCTTCATCCTCCTCTTTCTCCGCTCGGCCTATCGCGACCGCGGGAGGTGAGTGACCGCTGCCCCCTTGCTCCTTCCCAGCCAGCGGAAAAAGTGCCACGCTTCACTTCTGGACCAGCCGGAGACAACCACAGCTTTGGTCAGGAAGGGTTAAACTAGGGATAAAAGATAATATCTGGGGATGAATCTCATCTGTCAGATATTTGCTGTAGCAATCTCAGTTGGTGGGTCAAAAGTATATATTCAAAAGATGGAGAAACAGCACTGCCAAAACCCACGGTTAGCGGTATTACACCCTACTCAAAACAAAAAAAATCATTAAAAAATCCATAGTTTGCAATAAAATCCCCAAAAAAATCACAAATGTCAAGGAACACATCTTGCATGTCCTAGATTCTTTTTTAGGTGATTTATTAAATAATTCAAAGAAAGAAAAATCTTTAAACGTGAATGCCTTATACTGCGGCAGTTGAAAAATATATCCTGGCATTATCTGTCCACTTGACCAACTATTAGGCAAGAACGCAAACGTTTGAAAAATCAGAGTGACAGACTTTAAAGAAGCGCTTTGCTATTGTAACCAGCTTACAGCAGGCTTTGTAAAGAACGTATTTTTGAAAGTTTTAGCTCATTTGGATAAAAGGCTAACTTTATACACTTTTTTGAAAAGAGGTCCGTGATTTCACAACAGGGTGAAATGTAATTCAAAATGGCCGACTCTACTCAAAACAAAAAAATTCATTAAAAATCTATAGTTTGCAATAAAATCCCGAAAAAACTCACAAATGTCAAGGAACACATCTTGCATGTCCTAGATTTTTTTTAGATGATTTATTAAATAAT